GTGCTGCTAGAGGGTCCCCCGTGTGCTGACAGAAGGACTCGCAGGAGCTGGTGACTTCTTGGTGAAAGGGTAACTCCTTTAACTTCTTCAGACGTCCCGAGAAAGGATAACTTCTCCTGTAACTTCTCGCTACGACCCAAGAAAATGTAACTCCTTCTTTACCTTCTTCAGACGTCCCCAAGAAAGGTAACTCTTTTTTTTATCTTCTTGAGACGTCCCGAGAAACGGTAACTTCTCCTGTAACTCTCGCGACGTCCAAGACAAGATAAATCCTTCTATAACCACTTCATATCTCCCGAAGAAAGGATAACTCCTTCTTTAACTTCTCGAGACATCCCAAAGAAACGGTAACTTCTCCTGTTACTTCTTGCAACGTCCCAAGACAAGATAAATCCTTCTTCAACCTCTTCAGATGTCCCGAAGAAAGGATAACTCCTTCTTTAACCTCTTCAGATGTCCCTGAGGAAAGATAACTCCTTCTTTAACTTCTCGAGACGTCGTGAGAAAGGGCTATTTCTCCTGTTACTTCTTGCAACGTCCCAAGAAAAGATAAATCCTTCTTCAACCTCTTCAGATGTCCCGAGAAAGGATAACTCCTTTCTATCATCTTCTCGAGACATCCCAAGAAAGGGCTACTTCAGTTACTTCTTGCAACGTCCCAAGAAAAGATAAATCCTTCTTCAACCTCTTCAGATGTCCCGAGAAAGGATAACTCCTTTCTATCATCTTCTCGAGACATCCCAAGAAAGGGCTACTTCAGTTACTTCTTGCAACGTCCCGACATAGAGTAACTTCTCCTGTAACTCTTTGCTATATCCAGTATAAGGAAAACCTCTCTAACGGCGCTTGAAGAATACGCCTCTCTGAACAAAATAACATCCAAACATCGCAGTTAACATCCTTACCCATAGGAGATACTCCCATAGGGCTTAACACAGACGCTCCATAACAAATAGCTATCTTGGGTACGGCGAGAGGCACTGTACCTGCGTATAATTAACGTACAGAGATAACGTATTGCGTTGTTATGGCATGACGTACGGCGATGAGGAGGAGATGATGTATAGGTATGTGTTTTGGGCTTCTGCGAGAACCTGGAATTTTTGGTCGTCTGTTGGGGGGAGAGGGAGCTCCAGGGGCGCTCTTTGGGAACAAGGAGCTGGAGGGTTGGTGGGAAAGAGGGTGTGATGTATGGTCTTTTGGGGGCAAGGAAGGGGGGAGGTATGCTCCTCTACGGTAGGTGAGCGTACACACACAGAAATGCATACACACACACACAGACAGATATACAAACACACACACAAATACATTTACAGACAAAGACAAATGAATACACAGAAATACACACACACACACACACACACACACACACACACACACAGAAAGGGAGAGAGAGAGAGAGAGAGAGAGAGAGAGAGAGAGAGAGAGAGAGAGAGAGAGAGAGAGAGAGAGAGAGAGAGAGAGAGAGAGAGAGAGAGAGAAAGAGAAGAGAGAGAGAGAGAGAAAGATAGATAGATAGATAGAGAGAAGAGTTGATACTGAAAAATATCCTGTATTTTTCGCGGGCAAACAAAACGAAAACTCCAGACAGAATTTGCACACATTATATGTTCTACATTTTAACCCTTTCTTACTCCCCTCTCCCTTCTCTTCCCCAACCCCCCTCGAGTCACGCTCCTTCCCCCCACCCCATCCTCCTTCTGGCTGCCCCCCTCCCTCCCCTCACCCCACCTCCCTTAACCCCCCCTCCCTTCTCCTTTAGTCCAAACCTCTCCCCTCTCCTTTGTCCATCCCCCTCCCATCCCCCTCACCCTCCCTTCACTCCCCCCCTCCCGTTTCGTGCCCTCATCCCATTTAACTCCCTCCCCTACCCTCCCTCCTTCCCCCTTCCCCTCCCCCCATGCGAAACACCTGTGGAAAACCTCGCGAAGTCCACTCCACCGCTGTTTCCCCCAGGGCTTAGTTGTGGTCCCCGGGCGGTCGGTCGGCGAGCTGGTGGTGGCGGCTGCTGGAGGCGCTGAAGAAGGTCACGGGAATAGAGGGCGGTGGGGAGGAGGGGTGAGGGGGATGAGGGGGGTGAGGGGGGATGAGGGGGTGAGGGAGGGATTTCTGGTGGGGTAATGAGGAGAGACAAGTCAGCGTGGTGGGGGGTCGGAGAGGCAGGTGTTGGGGGGTGGGGGTGGTAGAGGGAGAGAGAGATGAGTTAGGGAGGGAAGGGAGGGGGTGGGAGAGGGAGGGAGAGAGGAGTATAGGGAGGAAAGGGAGGGATATGGGAGGGACTGGAGGGTAGGATTGGGGGAGGGTGTGTGAGACAAAGAGGGAAGAGAGGAGGGTCGATGGAGGGATGGAGGGACGAGGAGTGGAGGGCATACAGGAGAAAGAGATAAGAAATAGGGAGTGGAGGAGGGAGGGAATGGAGGGATGGAGTAGGGGAAGGGAGAGAGGGAGGGATGGAGTAGGGGGGAGAGAGGGAAGGAGGGAGGAAGAGAGAGAGGGAGGGATGGAGAAGGGAAGGGAGAGAAGGAAGGAGGAACGAGGGAGGGAGGAGAGTGGAAGCTCGGGTAGAGAGAGAAAGGAAGATTGGAGAAGGTAAGCGAGTGGAGATGAAGGAGGGATAGAAAGGGAGAGGAACTTAGAAAACGGGAGGGAGGGAAGGAGGGAGGGAGTGGAGGGAGAGGAGAGCTGAAGGAGGAAGGGAGGAGGGAGTGGGGGAGAGGGAGAGGTGGAGTGGAGAGGAGGGGGAGATTAGGTGGAGGAGGTAGGGAGAAGGGAGTAGAGGGAAGAAGGAGGGAGGGATTGGAGGGTAGAGGGAGTTTAGCTGGAGGGAGGAAGGGAAGGAGCGAGGGAGTGAAGAAGGAGGGAAGAGTAGTGGAGGGTAAGACAAGGCGGCCTGCCAAGTGCGTCCGTGCAGCGTGACCGCAATGACAACTGCGTCATCGGTTGTCAGTCGTCTTTTGGTTGGCAATTTCCACCACCCACACGACCCCAGGCTGACCACATTGCCAACAATATTCTCCACTTCCTTGCGGGTAAGGAAGTCACGGTGTCACTCCTGTAAGGTTTTCTTTTTTATTTCTTCTTATGGTGATTTGGTGTTGTAAGAAGAAGAAACAGGAGGAGGAGAGGAGGAGAGAAGGAGGAGGAGAAGAAAATTATGTTTAGCTACCTATATCTTTCCCTCTCCTCCTTCCTCCCCTTCCTTTCTCTTTCTCTCCCTCCTCTCTCCTTCGCAACCTGTCTTTCTCCTTCCCTCTTCTCCCTCTTCCCCTCCCTCCCTCCCCCTCCCTCCCCCTCTACCTCCCCTCACCTCCCCTCCACCCTTCCTCCCTCCCTCCCTCCTCCCTCCCCTTCCCTCCCTCAGCCACGACCACCAGCGAGGCAACGACCCAGAAGCTTCAGGGTTGACATGAAGGACGACGAGTAACCACAAAATGTACTTCAGGTCCGCCATCAGCTGGGTCGTGCGTCACCTCAATACGCCCTGCAAGACAGACAGACAGACACAGACAGACACACACAGACACACACACTCTCTCTCTCTCTCTCTTCTTCTGCAGAGGGTGTACGCAGGGAGGGACCACCACCTGCTGTCGTTGCTGTTGATGGGCTGTTGTTTTTTTTTTTTTTTTTTTGGGAGGTTTGTGGTTCATTGTTTTTTTTTTTTGGGGGGGGAGGTTGTGGTTTCATTGTGTTATTATTGTTGTTGTTATCATCATTATTATTACTATTATTATTAGTATAGTAGTAGGAGTTGTAGTAGCAGCAGTAGTAGTATCAATATTGTCATTATTGTTATCATTATTATTGTTATTATATCATCACATCATCATTATCATTATCATTATTATTATATTATTATTATTATTATTATTATTATTATTATCATTACTATTATCATTTCTATCATTATTATTGTTATCATTATTATTGTTATTATCATCATTATTGTTATAATTATCATATTATCGTTATTATTGTTGTTATTACTACTACTACTACGATTATTATTATTGTCATTATCATTTTCATTATTATCTTTATTAGTATCATCATCATGATCATTAGTAGTAGATGTAGTAATAATTATATTATTATCATCATCATTATTGTTATCATCATCATTGTCTTATAATCTTCATTATCATTATTATTGACATTATTATCATCATCATTATTAGTAGGAGAAGTAGTAATTGTATCATTATCATTATCATTATCCTATTATTGTTGTTATCATCATTATTATTATTATTTTATTATATCATTATATATTATCATTATTATATTATTATTATTATTATTATTATTATCATTATTTATTATTAATATTATTATTGTTATTATTATTTATTATTATTATTATTATTATATATTATTATTATTATTATTATATTATATTATTATCGTTATTATTATTATTATCATTATCATTATTATTATTATTATTATTATTTGTGCTATTGTTTTTGTTTCATCAGCTGTTTCCGTTTCTTCTTGTTTCTTTCGATTATTTTTTCTGCAATTTGTTTTTGTTTTTTTATTTTTTTTTTTTTTGTCTTTTTAATGAATATTTTTTCTTTGTATTTTCTTTTGTATTTCTACTTATCATTTTTTTCTCTTTGTTGGTCATCTTTTGATTTTCTTATTATGATAATTTGTTATTGTTATTATTCTTTTTTGACTTCTCTGTCTCTTATTTTTTATTCGTCTGTTTTTGCGTATTTTTCGCTCACGTCTTTTTCTTTTCTTTTTTTTCATATTTTTTTCATTTTTCATATTCCTTTTTTGTGTTTTTTATTGTTATTTTCAATAACCCCCCCTCCTCCCTCCCCTTTTCAATAACACCATCCTCCCCTCCCTCCCCCCCTTTTCAATAACCCCCTCCTCCCTCCCCTATTCAACAACCCCCATCCTCCACTCCCCCCCTCTTCAATAACCCCCCCCCCCTCCTCATGATCAGAGAGACACCAACAATCACCTCATTACAAGATGATGACGCG